GTTCGATATTTCACATCCTGGCTCGCAGCTAAAAGGAAGCCTACACTAGAAATTGTCTTTGTGAAAGAATTTTCAGCTAGCCGTTCAAAAAGTACCTAGGATAATCAGCAGCTCCCCGAGGAAAGAAGAGAGTACTATAAAACTGTAAAGGATTTGCAGCAATGAATCGAATACGCGCTGAATTCTCGTAATGCAAGAGTTATTCGTTACAGGCCGTTGACTACGTGCTGTCACAACTACATCAAATTGGCAAAGAAAATAAGCTCAACTCCATAGAACAAGTAAGTTTTCAACGGTAAAAGCATTTTAAACCGATGGTAAAAAACGAGCTTTCAGGTTAAACGGATATACCTTGAACCGGAACCGTTTACTGTCGAAAACGGTTTGTTGACACCTACGCTGAAAGCGAAACGTCCACAATTACGGCATAGATACAAAGAGATTATTGCTAGGATATATCGTGAGAATAAAGATCTTTAACTGTTTTCACACAACACTTTTTACTGTAAAGTATACTTACTAAGAGAACCATTTTGGAGTTGAACCCACAACGGATACCTAGCTACTGATATTTCTAATATGGCACGTTTATTCTCGAATAGCAGAAAAACGACATAAACTTTGCAGAAATAGCAAAATAAAAACGTTCGCCATGAAATTATATCAAATAAAGCATGTCTACCCTAACTATAGTGAGAGCGATATAGAATGCTTCTGTGGATNATGAAATTATATCAAATAAAGCATGTCTACCCTAACTATAGTGAGAGCGATATAGAATGCTTCTGTGGATATGCACATTCGGAAGAATAAGCGACAAAGGTAACAAGAATTAATCGAAGTTCAAAACTAATAAAGATAATCGCTAAAAACATTATCCGCTAGGGAGAGACAAAACCTATTTTTCTCACTGAATCTTAATGTACAAATAATAATGAAAAACGGATCTGCAGCATAAGATTGGCAGTTGAGGTGAACATTATAAGCCAAAGACCTCAACTTAAACTTTGTGAAAGAAAAACTCGAAATAATCAAAACTCGGGCTCTAGAAATCAAGCTGGGCGACGTCGACGACCACGAGAACGTACTCGACGGATCATTGCCCATTTTTTAAGAGTACGATACTTGTCTAGAACTTCACGCCTGTCCATGTAGAGCTGATCAGTTCTTAAATATTACTCTTTAGATTTTGCACGGATCTTCTACCCGATTTCTCAGTGTTTTATATTTCATCTTTGAACAAAATGGTCGCTCACTTTTCCCATCCACGATCTTTCCAATAATCGTTATCATTCGGAAACATTGTTGTTGGATCAAAGAAGTCGTCTGTAGAATAGAACTCGGCTGTACATAATGATGTCATTTTAGCCAACAGAGCCTCCATTTTCTTAACGAGATCCGTCACGCGAGAGCCCCTTATATCATGCCAGAACAGCTCTTCAACCTGAAAACGTCTCCGCCGCAATTTAATCAGTCTCCAATAAAAGAGACCCCTTCGTTACTGAATATTTGCTCAGATATTCTATGTATAATTAACCTAGCTCGAGTTTTCGAAAGAAACTGCACGATCACCTTTGACAAATCCAGACTTAATAGCATATCCATCAAAGCGTCCGTTAATACCAATCCCTTGATAATGAGGAATGTGCAAATTTGTGCAGGGCTAAAACAAACAAGCACATTTGTGCAGAACTGGAACGAAAAAGAATTCATGAGTCATAGAGATTAATCGAAGCCATAAAGAACATAAAAGCGCTAAAACGAGCACAATGGGTGATAAACGCAAGCTCTGTGCAGGCAAAAGCTTTCCAAGTAAGCCAACATCCAGGTCTTTTTTGAGCGTCTGTCCTAAATCTCTGAACTCCGCTAAAAAGAATCTTGATCTCAACTCCCCAAGATTTTAGGGTTCACATGGGTAGATTCCATTTCTTAATATGATGCCACATTTTGTCCATAACTGGGCATTCACAATAAAGATAAGGATAAATGGTAAAGTTTCTGGCGTTAATAAATTCCGTTTTGGAATGCGCATGGCATTTCCATTCAATCGCAGTGGCGGTATTGAGAGCTTATGTGGCCTGACAAGACAGTGCTGTTATCCTCCCCGACGAGTACGTGCGTGAGTGATAGTGCACCACCTTCTATGACACCCCTACCCCGGACATTCATATAGACATAGAAGCCATTCAAGAACAATGCCACAACCAAAAAACTCACAAAATCGCAGATGGAACCTCATTGATCACAACACACTTAGAAAAATATCGCTTTCCGCTTTCTCCGTATATATATGCCACAACACAACCGCCGTAATTTCGATCTCGTTCCACTGGCGCCTACAACTTATGGTCGTAATTCGCTTCAAGAAAAAGACTTTGTTCACAAACTCATATTTCTATAGCCAGAAAATGATTACTTATAACCTGTAGTCTGAGCCCAATAGATGGCTTCGGCAAATGCTGATGAAATTCATTGATCACGTCTCTGAATCTCTTGCAAACACATCGTAACCGATATAGTTTCTGCAGAAAAAAAAAGAATAATGCATATGCACCATCGACTTATGACCCAACGAGGAGGGACTCGCCTTGACAGCAATGATTCGACGAGCTCCAAAAAGATGATTTGTCTGTGACGCTTGGATAATGTATTGTGCTGGACTGGAAACATAGCCGAAAATCTTCAGTAGAACGTCGCTTGGGAGATCAATGAAGTTGATGGTCTAAAAATAGTTTCCGACTGATGTTGCCCATGTTTCCCTTCGACACGGGATTTGCTTCTATAGGAGCGTAAATGGCACCCTCCCTAATCCCTTTTCATAAAAAACTTCCTGCGAAAATGGAGCAATCAGAAGAGTGGCAGATGTACCTGATCCTTTTCTATCGAATCCTTTTCCTCTGTGTTCTGAATTTGCTTGGTGTTTTGCTTCTTGCTTTTGTTACTTTCATCAAAAAGCTTCGAGATCAATTCTGCTTGTTCAAATGTTGCACGAGGATTATATACCCGCATTCGTCGGAACCTCTGAGACCAGTGACCTAAAACAAAGTATCCTCGAATTTACCCTCTACACTTGAATGTGATTTTCAACCGTGACGCATATCCCCACAAACGCCAAAGAGTAGTTTAGACTTTCCCAAGTGACTATCCCCTCATCCAGTACAATGAGTTTCAAAAAGTTTAATCTGGTGAAGAAAAATTCAGAACTGGCCACGGGATGAATAGCTTCCACACCTCTACTCAAATTTCTACCGATGCGGAAAAGTATTGCAGTCCCGTAAGCTTTATCCTATATGTTTTCATATCGAAATTGAATTGAATTTTCGATTACTATGAAATAACGTACCGGAGATAGGCGTTTTAGTGAAACGCCTTTTACCCATATTCTTGAAGGCAAACAAATGGCAGGACGAAGTAGCTGAAAGCAATTGAGCGTACTAAACAGTGAAAACCAGAAATAGAGCACCAATCGATCACAATGCGCAACGTAAATATGTTAGTTACTAGCTCTAGAGCATGTGGAAGAAATGGTGAACTTCTCCTTGAAGTAAGATAGATACCATAAATGTGTGACATTTTTCTGACCCCTCATTCAAATAGCCAAGCGGTTAGAAAACACTCAAAAGAAAGTGAATACACCCAAACACCTTTCACTATGGAACACAACCCTGCATGTGACCACAAAGAGCCAGGGAACTTTTGTTTCTGACGTAAAAAAGGATCCGCCACCCAAACAACTAGCAATCGCGCCTCCATACAGAACAAATCAACTGGGAGAAGCGGTCTACGAACTGGAACGAAAACTAGTATGTATCTCTACCCCTACCCTAATGACACCTTAAAATAACTCTCGAACAACGCTTTGCTGAAGGCTACTGCCGAATAACGCCCGAATTCAGTATAGAAAGGAAAAACTAAAATTTTAGAAAGGAAACCTCCTTTTTACAGGACTCGGACAGTTGGTCCTGGTTTCTGTTTCACAGTAAGGCTACTGCAGGTAGAGGGTTCCCGTCCTGAAATTTCATTGTAGTTAACTCAGATGGTTCCCAAACAGTTCAGTTCCGCTTTTCACACTTAGTCTTTCATCCCCTTGACCGGATTCTCAAACGAGGAACCAGAAGTTCACCTTCCCTCCAAACGGGTCCAGAGGGTTAGAGCGCAGATGGATAACAATGACTGACTCTCACCCATTAAACGGGTCTGAGCAACCAGTTCTGCTAACATATATGTAGGCTTATGGGGGTCATCTATTATGCATATCATAAGCACGAGTTGGGATGTGCGAAGTGAGGGTCATCTAGATAGGTTTTAATTGAGTACAGCTTCGAACGGATGGATTGTGAGGAAGCAGACATTTTGAGGAAAGAAAGACGGCGTGGACACAAAGAAAACCGTTAGGGGACAAAGCTGTGTGTTCAGACTGCGCTAAATGTCGAGGGAATGCACCAGCGCTGAGAAAGAGAAACAAAGATACGATGAGATGACGATTGCAACGACTGATAAACACATTGGCAACACAGATGGCAATAGTTGGCATGGATATAACATGCGAATCATCATGATTTACAAAAAAGAAATGAATAACTTTATTGTATAAACAAATGTACAAAATACTTTAAGATATGATTTTACTCTCGGATATTTTGCGCTTTAAGCTTTGAGAGTTCATCCAGGTCACTATAAAGCTTCTCTTTGCGGATTTCTAGCAATAAATCCTGCCTAAAATCATGTGACTCGGTGGTATAATAAGAAAACTGTAGCCATTCTGAGGCACAAACCTCTCGTCATACGAGCCAATCCCAATTTCTTCGAGATCACCGTCAGTAATATCAACAAGTACGCGTCCTAAAATGATGGATACTGATAGAGAACGCTCCTGGTTGGTTGATAGCCAACCCACATAGGTTGCCCAGTAATTTAAGAAAGGCATTTGGGATGTTTTTGCCAGCCTTATTGTATTAAAATAGTTAAGAAGAAATTGAAACGCACAACAGGGAGAACAATGTATAGCGAAGCGCAAAACCGAAAACTCTGATGGCCGCTTAACTCTTACAGTAATCCGATAGCGGGTCCTAGCCTGAGCGCCTGTTAATGGTGCAACTGTTCAAACGATTGCTTACGACATACAAGACTGGAAGTTCTGCTACTTCTGTTATTTCACTTTACGATATGGTTACTGTAGGGACCAAGTTCAAGCCCAGAATTTTTGTAAATAGGGGATGTTATGAAAGCGGAAGTCTCTGGAATCCAAATACATCTGAATCTCTTTTGCTCGAAATCGCAAACCGTCTAATTACTGTGGGTAATCTTAGCAATCTGTTTATGAGTAAACGAAAGTTGCAGGGAACACTTTCGATCGACTTTTCCCAGTCGCACGGCCTTTAGCTGCGCTTCCAATAAGATGCTGAAGACACTTCGAAAGTGGAAACCACTTGAAAGTTGACAAACCTTTAAAGAACGAAGCGCAGATTCTTACCCCCTTCGTAACGGGACGCTCTGCCTCCTCTAATCACAGGACCTTCGATGGACAACTGTAAGTAACTGCTACTTTTGACTTGCCTTGCCATTTCGAGCTGTCCATACTTATCGATCTAACCGAGCTTCAAGCCCCGCATGTTCCCCCCACCTTTTCTCCAAAGCTTTCTAATAAAAGCTGGCTATGACTATGTCGACTGAGTGTTGGAAAGCTTTAGAAAACTCACCCGTTACATTATGCCTCAGAAAAAATAGCGAATACTTCAGAGCGAGCTTCGGCCTCCGTCTACGAAGCCAATCATCGACATCAGATGCCGTCCAGAAACATATTGGTCGGTGTGAAACCGTTTGAAACACTTCTTGACCATGCGTCATGCACAGAATACGCTGAAAAAAGAATCTCGTTCAATCCTAATGGAGTATATCACTTGGAGCAGTAGCAGACGACCATGAAGCTTCTTTGGGACAATTAAGAACTGGAAAACCAAGGATAGCAACGACTTTGTAGTAAATACCAAATGCCAACCTTAATTTCTCACTACGATACGCCCAGCTCAAAAACAAGCGGAGGCCGTTGTTGTCCGTATCGTCGGTCGATCATTTTGAACGCCTGCGTCGAGTCATAAGTTTTCCTCCCACTGAGAACCTGTTCCTACTGCTTTTTCTGTGATTTCTCTTTCACTTCTTGAAAGAAAATATCTCAGCAAGGCTCTAAATGTAGGTGATTTCAGTTTCCAATTGATTTATTATAAGCTTTATTGCAGCAATGTCTACTGGTGCTGTTATCAATGGAGTAGGAGAGGAGGCATTTATTGACGTGAAAAAGTGGAAAGACGAGACGGGCAAGACTGTATTCCAACATCTAAGCGAAGGGTTTGCGGGAGACGACGAAGCAGGTGAGTGGCGCCTAGTAATTTGGCATATATCTACCGTATTGTCATCAGATAATTATATAAGACGCGTTTTAAATCGAATTATTTGTAGTTTCTAAGTTGTCACGGGGGTATTTTACATTCTGAAAGGTTTATTGTCTTTGTCATCCTTTTCTTCGTGCCCCTTTCGCAAGGCTATAAGAAAAGCTGTGGCTGCTGATCAATACAACCTTTTTTCCAGTCGCTGCTGTGTTTTTGCTACGTTCGATGGCTGTGCGCGCCTTTCATTTACAACTCATTTCCATATCATTTTTTTGAACTTCTCTTTTCTTTTTCATTGCATTTCTCAAAAGTGGTGGCTTCATCTTAAGTTAGTTGAAGCTCATCTCTGCTTAAATATCTGAAATGTAGATTCAAAGGTTCGGCCCTGAAAGCTGTCTTTGTTTCTAATACTAACTCGGGAAGGGAGAAGGGAAGGGATGGAGTCGTGAGTCGCCTGGAGAAGGGAGGGAGTTGGATCTCCTGAATGGCTAATCTCGTAGTCGCGAATACTGCTGGTTTCTTTGTAATCTTCTTGAGAATTTCCTTAATTCACTCATTAAAGTCGTTTCAGTTGCTGATGGAGCTGTCTTGAGATATCGGGCGCCTTTCTTACGGGTGATCAAGCACGATGCTTACTTTGACGCCTTCAATCTTGTTGTTGAAAGCATGTTGAATAGGTGATTAGTTTGCAGGTTTCTTTCTGTGTTTGAGGCTTCCTTGGCGGCAGAGGGGTTCGAATACGGTCATATATCATACGTTATAGAGTTTTACATTAAAAAGTAACATATTTTGCTTTAAGGTTGGCACCGATGTGGTTAGCGTACACGTTCGCCGATGCGTTTGTTACGGATCATGCAGAAGAATTGGCAGCATATAGGCAAGATTATGTTGAAGGTAATAGCCAATAATTCAGTTGCGATGTCCAGAACTTTGCACAGTTCCGTTTTTTGTAACCATTCAAAGTCTATCATACTTTCTTTGAGGTGAATATCAACAGTCGGATGGCGGCACATGGTGTCGACAGATTATCACAAGTATGCAAGCTTTTGCAAAAAAGATCATGAATGGTGAAAGGAAGCTACGGGGTATGGTGTTTTCCATGATTATCTGCCAAGATTCTTTTTACTGTGTTTGTGTATGGCATAAGTTTCGTACGCTTTGTTTAGTCCTTCTCGACGTTTGGCATCAGTTCCCCATATCTTGTGAATCGGAAAAAGGTCGCCGTCCTAAACAAGAAGATCGTATGCTAGCTATGCCTACGCTGGCCCTCGTTTTCCCTGATGTCGTCAGAGTAAGTTCTGTTTCCATAGCTTTTTTATTGACTGCTATATTTCAGTCATTCTTAGAACATGTGTGTATGGCACTTCTTTTATTCAATGGGTTTTTGAGCCATGTGTAAATGGGTTGTAATTTTCAGTCAGATGTTGCTCTGATGGCTGTATTTGATGGACATGGTGGTGCTGAATGCGCTGCTTACTGTTGTGCACATCTCCCAGCAGAATTTGTGCGTGCGTTGAATGCCAATCCGACTTCACTTGAGGCTTCGATGAAGCAAGCGTTCGAACGACTCGGTATGCTCCCAGATCTGATTGATTGCAATTTATCACTTTAACAGCCCGCCTGTGTCAGTTCTTTGCTGGAATGTACTCGTTCTTTTTACTCATTCTGCAGCGACCATCAATTTCTCCCTTACAGACACTCGTTTGTCTGCTCGATGTGAGCACGAACGATGGCGAAGTGGCACAACTGCGGTAGCGGCTGCAATAGATGCCAAGAGTATGGTCATTGCATGGGTAGGGGATTCAGCGGCATACGTACTTTCATCAGACAACGATCTTCGAAAAATCACTAATGCACATGTGCCTACAAATGAGGTCCGTTTGCTTGCACAGGATTCTTTGATACTCGTTTTTTGAATTGTATCGACAATGCCCTAATGGCTAGACTGACGCCGTGTTGAAGTTCTGTATAAAGTGTACTCAATTTTAGGAGGAAGCTCGACGGGTTGAACAAGACGGGGGACAACTGCTCTATATTCAAGGAGAACTCCGGGTCAATGGTGTTTTAAATTTGACAAGAGCTTTAGGTAAGGCGATGATTCTGTTACATGGTTTGTATATTATTTACATATTTATGAGGCCGTTCTTTTGGAATTCATTAAATTCGGTTCTATTCAGGAGATATCGGTGGACGACCAATGATTAGTCCGAAAGCTGATATTACGGTTATGGAAAGGGATTCTTCGCAGTATCTGCTATTACTCACTTGCGACGGGATTTCAGAGTTGTTTAATAACTCTGAAGTGCTAGATATGGTTAAGTCATTCGTGGCTAAGAATAGTAGTAAAGGTGAGTTACCTGACTGGGTTATTCAATTTCTTTTGTCTCTTTTTTATTTTCTGTTTTGTTCAACGAAACACGCTCAGTAAGCAAGCATGACCATTTCTAACGAAATATGTAGTGCAATGTGGGCTGTGGAGCCTTGGTACATATTTCCTTCCCGAGTATTCTGTACGGCTATTCGTACGGCAGCTACCTTGACCTAAGTGTCCATGACGACCGAAAATTGATTTCTTATGAATTTCTCTACTTTTTAATGTATTTTCTGAAGGAATTTGTTATTGCCGGTTGGCATGTGTTTTGCTTACGTTTTTTTTTGAACTTCGGCCCCTTGTTCTTTCGTTTTTTATACATAATGTTGCAGAGTTTTACAATCTCTCGGATCACCTTTGTCGTGCTGCAATTGCTGGTGGCAGTATCGACAACATTACATGTGTTGCTGTTTTCCTTAGACCTCCCCGAGACCTCTGGGAATTTTTCGGAGAAACGCCGGATAACTAAAGAGGCACAGTTTTCACATTCTGACCTATTCGCACTTCTAGCTCCTCGATTTGTTCAATAGTGCTTTTCTGAGGTAGTAGTAGTATAAGGTGGCTATGGCCGCGTGTATTCTGGAATGCGGAACTCGTACTCTTTTCCGAATTTGCTAAATTAAACTTCCTTCTCTTGCCCGATATGGCACACTGAGCGCAGTGGTAGTGGTCTAAAGTCAAACACATGCAAACCGAGGGATTACTCTCTTGCTGAGCCCGCTTCCCGCTTCTTTGAAGCTCATTCGTAAACATATTTTGAAAGTATGTATTAGGGATAGTGCACATGCTAGGTTGAGAGAAGATTTCCTCTCTGAGTGGTTCAGCAGATTTGGAGTGCGATCTTTGAGCGTTCTGATACATTTACGGCTTAGAGCTCTAGGCGGCCATGGTCACCCAGTACTCTCTTTTTTAGTCTTACCATAGCGCCTTGCTTGCTGATTTTGACAAAAGATTTTCTATAGAGTTGTTTAGCGGCAACAAATTCTAACCGTTTTTTGAAGATCATCGACTTCTCACATTTGCTCAGTTATATTTATTGGTCATATATGATGAAAAGCATAGTGATTCAAGTCTTTGAGAATTTATTTATGAGATTTTACATTTGCTAAATTGCATTTTTTTTTACCTTTTGCATGTGTGAACTTACCGCAATTCAATGTTTGCTCTCTTTTCAAGGTAATGGCTGTGACTTTTTATTTATATGTTACCGGATACAGTCTTTTGTAAATGTTGTGATCGACATTGCCTTTTCCATTTCATTTTTTTAATGATTTCCTATTCGAAGGTGCGCCTTCTCGAATGTTGTTGAACGTTTACGAAATCATTTGTAAATGACGTTTTGTTTGTTTTTCTTTTTCTTTTCTCATTCATGGTTCTCTATACCGTTTCTCCTAAACTGCGTGCTAAGTGTGCTATGTGTAGTGCTTGAAATTTCTGATTTCGTTATGTTGTATATATCGCTGTTGTTTTATTCGAATGAGATTTTTATAAGTATTCAAAAGGTAGCTGTATTGTTTGTTTGTACATGTGCTAAAAGAAAACAGGGCATCCGATGAGGAAATTGGTGTGTTCAATGAGTAATGAGAAAGGCAAACAGCTTCAGAGATAGCCCCACTCAAAAAAGTAGATTCTGATCAACTATTAGGGAGACATGTTGGAAGGACGTTTTCTCACTATAGAATCGGATGGAATGGGAGTAAACGGCGGCATTTTTTGGGTGATCTCATTCGTGGGAATTGGAATTCTATAGTTCAGTGGGACAACAACTGAGTCATCAGAGTCCTTCAGTAATCGACACAACGGAAATATGCCTGTGTTATCTAGACATGTGGGGAAAGAACAGTACTTCAATAAGAAATTAACACTTGGACTCGAAAACTAAAATCTGAGAACATTTGCGAAGCGGTATAGTAGTTTTGAGCACTAAAAAAGTCTAAACCTCGTCTAGGAGGATCCAAAGTAAGCATGGCAAGGGAAACCAAGTTAAACTCGACTTTCCTTCTTGGAAGGTTCCTGGTTCTATGAAATAGTTGTGAGTGGAAGCACCTAGTTTGGAACAATAAGATTCCCATGGTCATTGGCAGACAGAAGAATAGAAGGGCCCGCATGGAGGGTCTTCATCAATTCCTGGTCGATCCATAGGGGAACATAGTGGGAAACTGTTGCTACAACTTATAGAAAAAGGATGATAAAAAATCCATGATCTCCGAGATGAAGCTTGCTCTGTGAGAAGCTAGCACGTACTGAGGATTAGTCAGAACTCGTTGACAGCATAAGGGGACCGCCGACAATGTTCTTCGGCTGTGCTTCCGAATCCACTGATTCATGAGGTACAGACTGGGCGCTAGTCGGATCAAAAGCTAACAGTTGGTCTGGAGCAGTTCTAATCCAAGTGTCCACCTAACGATAGATGGGAACCTTCAAGCAGATAAGGACTCGGAACTCAGTTCCAAATGACCGAGCTATTCGAGTAGTAACCCTCTGCAGAGTTGGAAGAAGAGATACTTGTCATGAGGTGCACTTGACTCAGCTTCAGAGGAGCTCAGTGATAGGAGGAAGGAAAGAGACGTGAGTAGAAGCACTTAAATAGGAAGAAAAAGATTCCCAGGGTGACTGGGAGGCCGAGGAAGACGCAGGCTGGCCTGATGGTTCTTCAATCAATTTCTGGTCGATCGATCAAGGAACAAAATGGGCACCTGTTCGCAGAAGTAAAGGGGGCTAAAAAGACAGAAAATAAATAGAAGGTGAGCATGTGTAAAATAGAAGAAGCAGGTGAGAAAAAACGAAAGAGGAAAAGAAAAAATGTCTTACAACAACAGAACAATGAAAGAACCCCCATGGCGTAGGTGTACGAAAAATGAGCGGCAGCCGTGGTCTCCAGGAAGGTCAAAACGTCACCATCAATAAATCAGAAAGAATCGCTTTGACAGTTCAATGATTTTCAGTTATAACTAGCAGTAATGTACGGCACTGCTACGACATAGTAGATAAGTCCGTTCCTAACTGAACCTATTAGAAGGAGGCTCAAGATTGGGATGGAATTCCCTCTCCCCCTCCCCCCTCCCCCACTTCCTCAAAAATCGGTTTCTGCACACTACCACTGCCCCCCCCCAT